TTCTATGAATCAATATCATTCTGTTCCACATAAACTTTGTTATTCTGTTTTATGATGAACTATTATTGTCCCGTTCTGTAACAGACATTGCTATTCTCTTCTTTAACAAGCGTTATTATTATTTTTATAATAAACCATCGTTATTCTGTTTAGTAATAAACTATTTTTATTCTGTTTCGTAATTGATATTCTGTTTTATATTGTTATTCTGTTCTGTAAAAAGTTTTACTATTCTGTTTGATAATCGTTATTTTGTTCTGTAATGAATATTATTATTCTGTTAAATATATATCGTTTTATATACCATTGTCTTTGGTTCTAGAGTGAACATTAATTCCAATTTTTATTAGTTTTAATGTAAATGATACCATATATCATGCTTTTCGATTACGAATAAGGAATGCTAATTATTATTTTCATAATACTTAAGTAAATCTCACTAATAATGGACCACAAAAACAGGTTTACATACTCCACTGTGCTGGAGTATCCCGGAAATCGTAATGGCTAGGCGTGACAATTCATTACAATGACGACTTTAATTCACGAAACGAATTCATGAAAAATACATTATCAATCTTTTTTTCCATTAACAAAAGGAAAATGTCTTCGAATTTTCCTCATTCATGTTTCCATTATTTGGACGAGAAATCTCATTTCGCCCTTTTGTTTAAATCTATCTGTTGATAAAACAGTTGTGACGCTAGTGCTTATCGTAGTTCATCTAGGATTATCTGCGCATCTTTTATCCGAATTCCTTCAATATCATCAAGATGAACGGGTTTCAGGTCAGAGCAGAAATTAATTATTTTTTATCAACTACATGCCAAAACAATTAACATTATTTCCTGGATGGTACCTTATGGGGGCACGTCATTAAACCCTAATTATACAACCACCCATTAGGTTGTACGGAGTTCTAGGTCAATCATCTTTAATATCACCATTAATTATCACACATTTCGGCAGCCATCAACAAATTACACAGTAGCTGAAACTGACATGCTCTTCGCGCGCTCTATCTCCCGCCAAGAGTTATGTCATGAATGCACAGGCACGTACACAGAGCCTCTGCGGGGTGAAGATAAACCACTGATCGGACCTCCGTTACTGGAGAGTTCAGTACGGATTTCACATCGGTTAAGCATGGAGTACATATCCTGTGAACAAGGTACACGACAGACTGAAATCACATATGATCCTCCGACTACAGAAATAAATACTCTTCCACTTCATGTTATCTGGCTTCAAAGGATATGTCCGCTCCGATAACACAATCCGTTCGGTCGACGAGGGGTGCGGCTATATGATGTTTTACTTTTTCCTACAATCGCTTACATGTACTGTTTAGTATGAAATTGACGTAAATAGATGTTTTAATTTAGACCATAATGAAACTTTTACGGGAAATAAGGGAAACATTAAAGAACTAAATGTTGCATGTCGTTGGATGATAATAAAAACACTTGAAATACCTCTCTCTATTTAAGCACGAATTCAATAAAATAACAGAGCCATTTCTTATCTTATTTGAATCACACCTTTACAAATAGATAACTTATGTCTATGAAAAACGAAATATCCAAGGAACATCCAACAGGTTATTTCTTTTTCTATAAGAACAGTATGGAACACGTCAGGTCCTTATTTCATATATTTGTTAGATAACAGAATGGAACACGTCATGTCCTTATTTTATATATTTATAAGATGACAGAATGAAACACGTCATGTCCTTATTTTATATATTTATAAGATGACAGAATGAAACACGTCATGTCCTTATTTTATATATTTATAAGATGACAGAATGAAACACGTCATGTCCTTATTTTATATATTTATAAGATGACAGAATGAAACACGTCATGTCCTTATTTTATATATTTATAAGATGACAGAATGAAACACGTCATGTCCTTATTTTATATATTTATAAGATGACAGAATGAAACACGTCATGTCCTTATTTTATATATTTATAAGATGACAGAATGAAACACGTCATGTCCTTATTTTATATATTTATAAGATGACAGAATGAAACACGTCATGTCCTTATTTTATATATTTATAAGATGACAGAATGAAACACGTCATGTCCTTATTTTATATATTTATAAGATGACAGAATGAAACACGTCATGTCCTTATTTTATATATTTATAAGATGACAGAATGAAACACGTCATGTCCTTATTTTATATATTTATAAGATGACAGAATGAAACACGTCATGTCCTTATTTTATATATTTATAAGATGACAGAATGAAACACGTCATGTCCTTATTTTATATATTTATTAGATGACAGAATGAAACACGTCATGTCCTTATTTAATATATTAATTAGATGCCAGAATGGAACACGTCATGTCCTTATTTTATATATTTATTAGATGACAGAATGAAACACGTCATGTCCTTATTTTATATATCTGTTAGATGACAGAATGGAACACCTCATGTCCTTATTTTATATATTTATTAGTTGACAGAATGAAACACGTCATGTCATTATTTTATATATCTGTTAGATGACAGAATGGAACACGTCATGTCCTTATTTTATATATATGTTAGATGACAGAATGGAACACATCATGTCCTTATTTTATATATCTGTTAGATGACAGAATGGAACACATCATGTCCTTATTTTATATATATGTTAGATGACAGAATGGAACACCTCATGTCCTTATTTTATATATCTGTTAGATGACAGAATGGAACACCTCATGTCCTTATTTTATATATTTATAAGATGACAGAATGAAACACGTCATGTCCTTATTTTATATATTTATAAGATGAATCACATAAGAAGGATGTACTCTTCTGAGAAGTCAAAATATTCCCGTATTAAACTTTGTTTGGAAAAAAAATGGCATAGTGGAAAATGCAAAAAGAATTATATGTCCGTGTGTTCGTGTGTGCTATGATCGGTCAGAGATACCAATTTAACACATGTGATTTAACCATTTGCAAAACAAATTCATACAATATCTTTTAAGTGTGTTATCAGATATGTATTAATGTTTGCAGAATTGATGAAAAGTATTTTCTTTTAAATTATGGAAGTAAAAATTCTAAAACTTAATCTTTTAACTCAGAAAAGCGATTTAAGTTAGTTAGCCCTCGCCCCATATTTTCCAGTGACAAAAATACGCATTTTGTTCACTATCGTTTCAGATTTAACGCGTGATGCAAAAAGTTCTGCTACAAATCTTTCTTAATATTTAATAGATCAAACTGGCTGCCGAATTGGTTTTTTTTTTTTAATTCTTGTAAAATCTACACACACCATGCATCTAGTTTTTTGACACATTTTTTCAAATGAGTTTTGCTTTAAAAATACATCATGAATTGTTAAATTTTACAAAAACCCGTTACACGAGATTAAAACGAGACTTGAACGTGATTTAAACCTCAGAAGAGTACATCCTTCAGTAGAATATAATAAATAATAGATGACAGGATGGAACACATCAGGTCCATATTTTACATATTTTGTAGGGGGTAAGGTAGAACACGTCTTATCCTTTTTACTTATCTCCAGTAGACTATAACAATTTGTTTGGGACATGGTGAAAATATTCAGGGCCTTATGATACATATTTAGCACAGGAGAAACAGGTCAAGTCATATATTAAGTAGAAGACAAGACGGAGCAAGTCATGTCAAAATTACATATATTCAGTAGAGGACAAGACGGAACAAGTCATGTCAAAATTACATATATTCAGTAGAGGACAAGACGGAACAAGTCATGTCAAAATTACATATATTCAGTAGGGGCCAAGACGAAACAAATCATGTCAAAATTACATATATTCAGTAGGGGCCAAGACGGAACAAGTCAGGTAAAAATTACATATATTTAGTAGAAGACAAAACAGAACATGTCGGGTCAAATTTACATATATTCAGTAGACGACAAGACGGAACAAGTCAGGTCAAAATTACATATATTTCGTAGAACACAAGACGGAACAAGTCAGGTCAAAATTACATATATTCAGTAGGGGCCAAGACGGAACAAATCATGTCAAAATTACATATATTCAGTAGAGGACAAGACGGAACAAGTCAGGTAAAAATTACATATATTTCGTAGAAGACAAGACGGAACAAGTCAGGTCAAAATTACATATATTCAGTAGAGGACAAGACGGAACAAGTCAGGTCAAAAGTACACATATTCAGCAGAGGACAAGACGGAACAAGTCAGGTAAAAATTACATATATTCAGTAGGGGACAAGACGGAACATGTCAGGTCAAAATTACATATATTCAGTAGAGGACAAGACGGAACAAGTCAGGGAAAAATTACATATATTCAGTAGGGGCCAAGACGGAACAAGTCATGTCAAAATTGCATATATTCAGTAGGGGACAAGACGGAACAAGTCAGGTAAAAATTACATATATTCAGTAGAGGACAAGACGGAACAAGTCAGGTAAAAGTTACATATATTCAGTAGGGGCCAAGACGGAACAAGTCATGTCAAAATTGCATATATTCAGTAGAGGACAAGAAGGAACAAGTCAGGTCAAAATTACATAAATTCAGTAGGGGACAAGACGGAACAATTCAGGTCAAAAGTACACATATTTAAAGAGGACAAGACGGAACAAGTAAAGTCAAATTCACATATATCAAGTACAGGACAGGATGGATCATTTCATGTCTTCACTTCGTTCAAGTTATTACTGAAGAAGCATAAACAAATTAGGGAGCAGCTACTTGTATCAAGTGTTTTATTTATCACATTTTCAAAGAAATTCGAGCGAAGCAATAAATTTCATTTATACCCAATATATTTATGATAATTTTACGATCTCGAGATATATTGGTATCGACTTAAATATTGTAATTATATTAATTCCTCGCACTTGCTAGAAATCATAGCAATTGAATTTTGCTCTTAATCTCCGTTTACAGTGTAACTTGTTGATTTATAAACCACTGCTGTTGATGAGAAATGTTCCTACCTGTAATAAATGGGATCCGAGTTCCTTGTCGAGCCGAGTTCTATGTCCAATCTGTCTTCGTCCCCAACCATCACCAAGACCTGGCCAAGAAACAAGGATTACATTAATTATATATCTAGTATAAGTTAGCATACAGGGGTGGCATGTCTGATGCTGTCCTCCATTATCACCAAGACCTGGCCAAGGAAACAATAATCATATATCTAGTATAAGTTAAAGCTTCATACAAGGGTAGCATGCCTGATGCTGTCCCCAATTATAACCAACACCTGGCCAAGGAAACAATAATCATATATCTAGTATACGTTAAAGCTTCATTCAAGGGTAGCATGCCTGATGCTGTCCCCAATTCTAACCAACACCTGGCCAAGGAAACAATAGTCATACATCTAGTAGAAGTTAAAACTTCATACAAGGGTAGAATGCCTGATGCTGTCCCCAATTATATCCAACACCTGGCCAAGGAAACAATAATCATATATCTAGTATACGTTAAAGCTTCATTCAAGGGTAGCATGCCTGATGCTGTCCCCAATTGTAACCAACACCTGGCCAAGGAAACATTAATCATATATCTAGTATAAGTTAAATCTTCATACAAGGGTAGCATGCCTGATGCTGTACCCAATTATAACCAAGACCTGGCCAAGGAAACAATAGTCATACATCTAGTAGAAGTTAAAACTTCATACAAGGGTAGTATGCCTGATGCTGTCCCCAATTATCAACAACACCTGGCCAAGGAAACAATAGTCATCTATCTCGAATAAGTTAAAACTTCATACAGGGGTGGCATGACTGATGCTGTCCCCAATTATCACCAACACCTGGCCAAGGAAACAATAGTCATCTATCTCGAATAAGTTAAAACTTCATACAGGGGGGGCATGTCTGATGCTGTCCCCAATTATCACCAACACCTGGCCAAGGAAACAATAGTCATATATCTAGTATAAGTTAAAACTTCATACAGGGGTGGCATGTCTGATGCTGTCCCCAATTATCACCAAGACCTGGCCAAGGATACAAGCATAACATTAATTATACATCTACTTTATGTTAAATCTTCATACAGGGTAGGCATGTCTAATGTTGATGTGATTCTATTGATGTTACAGAGCAACTAAATACATACATAAAATTTCCAAAGTTAGCCTTACTCTTTAACATGGCAATCATTGGTTACAAACTGCATAAATGCTACTTTTTCATATTATTATATTTTGATATGCGAATTACAGATTATAAATAGCATACAATGCTATATATCTTTTTATTTGTTTCTAATTGACATGAATGTGTTAGTTTAAGAGAGAGTAATATGAGGAGAAACAAGAGACTTCCCTAAAGTGGAGAGATACCGACCACAGTAATCTGTTATTGTAACCCGTACATAGTGCTACATGAGACCTGATAGTTGGGGAATATTGGTCGATTTGACATTTCCAAACGAATAGGTTTCATTCATTTAAGACTCTTTTTAAGCAACACTGGCTTAGCAAACGGGTACACAGGAGTCGTGCTGTGTAGACTCCGCCCTGCATCGTATTTCCTTACAACTACGGTGTTATTCGCGTGTAATGGCGGAGGGGCGAAACGACCAACTTACAAAGACCCCTTAATTATAGAGTTTTCTTTAGCTCTCTAAATAGCATATTATAGGAACAAAGCACAACGGGAAATCCGCTTAATGAGATTTTAATCAATTAGGAGAAAATGTTCGATACTGGTTTCAATTCTGACCGTATAATGGAATCCGGATTTTTACCAGTTCCGTGCCAGTAATTAATATTGACGTTCTTTTGGCCTACAGCAAAAAAGCACTGGAAAGCCGTTAGTCGGCAGGAGGGGGCTAGTTTGTGAATAGCGTTTGGTTTCAATGTTGCGACAAGAGGGCTGCTCATAAACACCCAATTTGTCCATCAATCCGAATGATCCGTTATATGGGGGCCCGCCGGGGGGTTAGGACGTGTTGATGTTAACAATATGTTCCAGTTAGGAGGCTCCATTTGGGGATTTGGCAAATAGGGATTGTCAGGAATAAAAATGCCAGAGAAACAAACCTGCCCTCGGGAGACAGTCACACAGACAAACAAGCGTAGATGAGTAGATGAGTGAGGTGACATTGAATAATTTTCATGGAGAAATAAATGTCTTATAAACTAATAATAAACATTCTAAAAATAGAATAAATCGAGAACCTACAGATAGAAATCACTAATTAGGTTTAAATCAAACGTTAACACAAAAAATTACCCCTAACGTTTCCTAAGACGGAAAAATATTAAAAAAAAACAACACCGCTTATATGTATAACATCATAATCATGATCCATCGAAAAAATACGGATTGGTACAACTCACATACTTTTGTTCTTATATCTAGCCAATGTCACGTACACGTAAATTCGTGTAGGACTTGTTATATAACTTGTTTATTATTGTGGTTTGGTGTAGACATACAATAGGATGGAGAACCCTCAGCCGACATGTCGGGTAACTGCGCGGCTTTCTACTGAAGTAGGATGTATATATAGATACACAACACGGATGAACTATAAAGTCTGACAAACTTAGCCATAGGCTGTGACATCTACACAAACTAAACTGCTTACACATCGAATTGTGTTAAAGTTCTTACAATTTTAGGGATGTCGATAAACCAATAAACAAATCAGAATTGGGTAGCATAATTAATTATCCATAAATATTTAAGGATTAACTTGAATATATTTTTTATGTTATGGAGCTATAACACAAAAAACAGGAGTGAACTCGCATCAAAATTATTACGCCGTTGTATCAACCAATCAAAAGCGACGTTACAAACGGCGACGTCATTTTTATACGTTATGGGTTGATAACATAAATTGGTAAGCCAATGAAAATGCTTGTTACAAGCAAGATTAAATTATAACACTAGCAATCAAACTTAGCCCAACACTTGCCAATATGTATGTGCACACCATAGTTGGTTGGTAGACCTTTTGGTGGTAGGTGTATTTATTGAACGGAATCAAATAAGCCCATCATGTGTCGGTAGTTTAATACATTATTATACATGAATCGATTTGGCATTCGAAAGCGAGAGATAAAAAGGGAAAAAACACTGGGAAAAACCCAGACAGGAACAGAGGAAACATCAAAACAAACTAAAAACATCCCAAACCATCACAAAACACTGGGATACCCAGACAGGAACAGAGGAAACATCACAACAAACTAAAAACATCCCAAACCATCACAAAACACTGGGATATCCAGACAGACCCTAACTAGACGGGCATGTGAACCAGTTCCCTGGGAAACTGAACCCCGGCCATTTTGGTTGAAGGCGAGTGCGCTATCCACTGCGACACACTGTCACCCCTGTACCACAAGTAGTACTGGTCATTAGGTATGTCTTTAAATCCGGGGTCCCCTGTACCACAAGTAGTACTGGTCATTAGGTATGTCGTTAAATCCGGGGTCCCCTGTACCACAAGTAGTACTGGTCATTAGGTATGTCGTTAAATCCGGGGTCCCCTGCACCACAAGTAGTACTGGTCATTAGGTATGTCGTTAAATCCGGGGTCCCCTTTTCCACAAGTAGTACTGGTCATTTGGTATGTCGTTAAATCCGGGGTCACCTGTACCACCAGTAGTACTGGTCATTAGGTATGCCGTTAAATCCGGGGTCAACTGTACAACAAGTAGTACTGGTCATTAGGTATGTCTTTAAATCCGGGGTCCCCTGTACCACAAGTAGTACTGGTCATTAGGTATGTCGTTAAATCCGGGGTCCCCTGAACCATAAGTAGTACTGGTCATTAGGTATGTCGTTAAATCCGGGGTCCCCTGTACCACCAGTAGTACTGGTCATTAGGTTTGCCGTTAAATCCGGGGTCCCCTGTACCACAAGTTCTACTGGTCATTAGGTATGGCGTTAAATCCGGGGTCCCCTGTACCACCAGTAGTACTGGTCATTAGGGTTGCCGTTAAATCCGGGGTCCCCTGTACCACAAGATCTACTGGTCATTAGGTATGTCGTTAAATCCGGGATCTCCTGTACCACAAGCAGTACTGGTCATTAGGTATGTCGTTAAATCCGGTGTCCCCTTTACCACAAGTAGTACTGGTCATTAGGTATGTCGTTACATCCGGGGTCCCCTGTACCACAAGTAGCACTGGTCATTAGGTATGTCGTTAAATCCGGGGTCCCCTGTACCACAAGTAGTACTGGTCATTAGGTATGTCGTTAAATCCGGGATCTCCTGTACCACAAGTAGTACTGGTCATTAGGTATACCGTTAAATCCAGGGTTGTATATCGGTTACCAGTCACCTTTCCCTGTTTGCTGTATTCTACTTATTGGAACACTAAAGACAAAGATGTTTGTTTCTGCTGTCATTACGTACCACTTATAAGTCCTAAATGGAAAACAATGGCCTTTTGCTGCAGTGCATATACCAACTAAACTAACAAACAGGTGCTTTCTTAACTCGAACTTCTAGTTGTTAGTTTACGCCACAAGGTGTCGGGCTCTGCTAGTGGACACTACCAGTCGTTCCCGAGACTGACCATACTATTGTAGCTGGAACTCATTCTCGCACAGTTTACAATATACTAGGTATAATTGACGTGGTGTAGCCTAAAGTTGTTAGATTGTAACGTTACACCTGGTTATATAGACACCTGTCCCTTCTGGCTGTATAATACATTTGTTTCAGAACAATATTAACATGGACGTTTAATTCTTTTGACCTTTAGTAATACTGACAAGCCTTTAACGGTTCTAATTGGACGGCAAGGTGATATGGTGATATGGTGATTTGGTGATACGGTGATATGGTGATTTGGTGATACGGTGATATGGTGATATCGTAATAAGGTGATTTGGTGATATGGTGATAAGGTTATTTTGTGATATAGTGATATGGTGATGAGGTGATACGGTGATATGGTGATATGGTGATATAGTGATATGGTGATAAGGTGATATAGTGAAATGGTGATAAGGTGATTAGGTGATTTGGTGATATGGTGATATGGTGATATGGTGATAAGGTGATTTGGTGATTTGGTGATAAGGTGATATGGTG